CACACACACACACACACACACACACACACACACACACACACACACACACCGAGCGTGGTTAGGACCCTGAAGTGAGGCAGCCCCATCTGCATGTAATCCCATCTGTGTGATGGAGCTTTGTCCTGCTCGCTGGTTAACACCCTATGATTGGGTCACCGTAAATCCACCTGATGCCTCTCTGTCTGCCCCTGTTTCAATTTTGCCTGCTACTTTTCATTTCTTGCTTAACTCAATGTCCACTGCGATCCTCCCTCTTCCTTTTCTTAAACCGTTTGCCTTTCTCTCATTTTCTTCACGCCGGTAAGCAAGGCACAGCAGGAGACAATAACCAGCGGCCCAGATTGGAGTCGCTACGGGATAAGTAGAGGAGAGAGGATAAGAAGTGAGGATGGATGCAGAGGACAGGGATCGAGGGGTCGCTGATTGCATCTCTTCAGCTGTCGGAGCTGTCAATCACGTCTCCGATGTGGGGAGCCATCACTCATCATGTGTGAGTATGGCGCAATAGCTTTCCTGCTCGGCTTTCTGACAGCTACTTTTCCTGGTGCTAAGCAAGACATCGCTCATCACACAGACTGACAGAGAATAAAAGAGCCGGAGGGATGAAGCCCACCTTCGGCTGATGACAAAAGCGCTGATGAGGAGAAGGAGGAGCACCACGCTGCCGACCACAGACACCAGTAACACTGTCGAGTTTGTTCCATCACCAATTATGGGAGCTGGCACTAAGAGAGGGAAGAATGAAATAACAAGTAAAAAAAGAGCAATATATTCTGTGTCGGTCATTGACCCCTCATGCACCCTCTCGATATCTCCCAAACTCTCTGTATACACCTGATCCCCCACTCCGCCACGCCACGCGCACGCGCACACACACGCATATGCACACATCACTTTGTTTTACGATTCCACCATAAAGTGTACTCCTGTTGGCCCTCATTGAAAGATAATGACAGCCCATTTGGTTGTGTGCTTGTCCGTGTCATTATCATGCACCGCTGTTTGGATCTGCATCACAAAGGAGACACCTGGTCCCTCGATCAGTTCTGGAAACCGTTCACGCCATAATGTGGCTTTCGGTTTGTTGTATTTCTTGCATGGCTCGATCAAGAATTGTTATGGATACATTTCACCTCCCAAAACATCAGTATTTGCTATCGTTCAAAATTTTTGGACCTGAAATTGTTTTTCACCGAAGTGTGATGTATCACTCGTCTTAGCTTATGACATTTTGAGCCTGCTGAAAGAAATCCAAGCTCAGTGACCAACAGCAATTGAGTCCAAATGATATAATTCTTCAAAAATTCATAAAGGTTGAACCTTTACTGGTATGCCTACTAAGACTCATTGCAGCGTGAAGAATGGTGACTCCCCAAGATGCAAGTCAGGTGCTGCAGTACTGAAATCATTTATCTTTTACACACAACATCTATTTTGATAAATGGCCCTCTGAAAAAGTCACTCGTAAAAGATGCTATCATTGCAGGATTTTGCAAAGGTGCTTCAGCCATGAAAAAAAAAAAAAGTCACGTTCTTGAAAAGAGCAAGTAATATGTGGCTCGACTCACTGGAGTTTGTCATGAACTCAAACGGGCCGCTGCATTCACCGTAGCCGGCCGCTGTGCGTGCACGCACGTGGAACACATAAGAGGTGAGGGGCGTGAGACCCTTGATGTCTGCGTTTCTGGATGAGGTTTTGATGATCCTGTAGCTTTTTTCATTTTGGTCCTGCAGGAAATAAAAAAGAGAATAAGACAAGAGAAGCAACTGGAAAACAATACTGGGCAACGTGTCAACGTTTCAACGACTTACCTTTTCGTAGTACTTGACCTCGTACTCAAGGATCACCCCATTGGCTCGTTCTGGAGGTTGCCACACCAGCGAGATGGTGTGTCTTGTGATGTTCTTCGCTTGGACAGATGTTACCGGGGAGGGAGCTATACGAGAGAAAAAGCAATTTAGGGCCTGCTGTTTTCAACTTGTCTTTCATGCTGCAGCCTTGGAGACAATAAGTCTGTTTCTGTTGCCCTCTTAAATCTTCTGCTCTTTTATCCTCGACACCACGAGGCATTCACTTGTGTTTGGTTTTGGCCTTTATTGAAAAAGTGATGCTGCAAAACCACACAGCTCGATGAGAAATATAATATATTACAGCGTTGATGGTTGGAATGCATTCAACTGATCCAATGTTCCCTTAGCTGACACGCAATCCTACAAGGTGGCAAAGTAATAACAACCTTGATTTTCTGCATATCTGCAGGTCACCTTGGGAAAGCCTACGAGGCTCCAAAGTGCACGCCGGAAAAAGCACGAAAAATTGACTCGCGGCCTTTGCCTTTTTTCGTCTTCAAGAGAGCAAATCAATTGGTTTTCATTAAAGCGCCACAGAGCGATCTTATCCTGAGCCATTTCTGCAGCAGCTGATAATAAGGCCATAATTCAAGCAACAGAGCTATCTGCATTTGGGCGCCTTGAACACGTGAAGGTTAAAACGCAGATAATGGCTCACTGTTGAACTCAGGCTTCAGTATGTCACCGAGGCACAAATCAAACTTCTATCTTCAGGGAGGGTCGGCTAAATAAAAAGTCTACACACCCCAGGTGGGTTTTGTGATATAAAAAAAAATAGACCAAGATAAATCATTTCAGATTGTTGTGTTTTTTGTTAATTAGCCTTTACAAAAATAAATCTCTTTCAGAGGAGAAGTGGAAAGAAACAGTTAAAAAAAAAAACACTTTTTTTCTTATTTGAGCTGAACAAGTTCCACATCACAGTCATGGGGATTTTTTTTTAATCATTTATCTTGATCTCATTTTTTTAAATCACAAAAACATGGCATAACCAATAGCACAAAGAAAAATTCAACAGTAGAGTACAAACTATACTGAAGAAAGATCTTTCTCGTTGATATTCAAAAATGCTGATGAAAAAAATAAAAATAGACTACAAACTACAAGCAATCTAAAAACAGTTCTGTGGGAACTTAAAACACATTTTTAACACTCCTGACCAACCAACCTTACCCTCGTCTACTTTGCCGAGGCAGAATTTTATTGGACCTTAAAGGTTTACATCAAACACTTTTACGACACTGTAACCTTCCTAATGTCAGACAATCTGTCTTTGAAAACATTACAGTGGAGTGATTAATGAGGGGTTCATCATCCACAGATCACGATTGGATTATCTCTGACATTATATACATTCTCATCGGTTTGCCCCGGGGCTCCAGGGAACTGAGTATTTAAGCTTATGTGAACAAAACCCCGCTTTTAGCTGCGGATTGAGTTCAAACAGGCCTGGAATTTAAGCACCAGCCGTAGATTGAATTTCAAGCCTGCGATGCAAAATCAGGAGGGGGCATTTCAGTGGTACTGGTGGGAGCTGAGATGGAGATGAAGAGGTTTGGGATTGCAGACGTCTCCTGGTAAATGGATTAACCCAAGGTTGTGTCGGCCTAATGTGTTGCATCTCTGTTAAACAATTAGACGGCGGCCATTTGTATCCCTCGATCAATCTTACCCAGCCGGGGAGAGCCAATTTGAGGCCCCCCTTGGGATTGAGCGAGGACACTCCAGCTACGAAAGCAAAAAAAAAAAAAAAAAAAACCCAACAAAAGGTTCACTGACCTTCATTCCACTCATGTAATCCACACATCCATCTTTTCTCCAAAGATGACAGATATTGCGATTTAATCGTGTTCTGCTTCTCTTGTTGCATTTTTATTTCTCCTTCAACTAATGTGAGGATGAAGATGAGTGGACTTTTGAGTGGGCCCTCCTGAGAATTCCTTACATGAGACCGCAAGGTTACAATCAACCCTGGCCGGAATGAAGTGATCCATAAAGGCTGTGTTTTATGACGAATTGAAGAAAAAACAAAAGTAAACCCCATATATGGACTCACCGACATTACATGTGACATTCTCATTGGGCTTGTATTTGTCATCAATTATCTCCACATAAAACACAGTTTGTTTAGGGTTTTACTTTGCAACCATGTTGAGCTTTCACTGTATGTAGAGCGAGGAGAAAACTGAATGTGCTTGCGCAAATATGTGGTCAATTTCACAGAGGGGGAGAGAGAGAGAGAGAGAGAGAGAGAGAGAGAGAGAGAGAGAGATGCAGGGGAGCACATGTGGTTGCCAGATTGAATCGCAGTTGCCAGATTTGAGTCCCTCAGTTTTGCTGTCACCAAGGGGAAAAAAAAAAAAAGGCTTCTGCTTACATGATCCTTTCCCAGCCCATGTAACGGGTGCTTCCATCTCCCCAAACACATTTGCACATGTCCGTTTTGCCAGCGAGATGGAAACTCACACACACACAAGTTTGCTGACAGACAAGCTCCCCGCGCACACACTTTCTCATGCTCTAATTCACATTTTGTCACCTCAGGTTGCCAAGAATTTATTATCGAGACATAAACACTTTCATTTGAGATGATTTTTTTTGTCTTTATCACAATATACACACACTCAAACACAAAGTATTTGATCCCAGGCAAGGGGAAAACACTTTCTTTTACTGCCAGGGGTCAGTTCAAAGCTGGCCCCCACCCACCAACCAAACCCCCTCCCACGCCTTTTTACTCCTCTTGCAGTCCCGGTGATGGAGTTACACTCCCACTGATTTATGCCACTGGATTTTATTTCTCATCGAGGCAAAGAATCTGACTCCATCATACACGTGCGCACACACACACAATCACACACACACACATGCACACACACACACACACACACACACACACACACATACACACACACACACGTTTAGTTACACATCCATGCACATGCAATCAACAGTGCTAATGTGTTAATTTTCCTTTGGCGTGGTTCTCTGAAAACCCTCCATTCATTTTCCTCATAGTTAAAAATCCACGAGTGTTCCTTCATTCCAAGCTGGCCCCCCTAACCTCTTCCTTTTCGCCTGAAATTTGAACTTTAATGGGGAGCCGGTGGAGGCTGCGCCGTCTTTTCCACAGCTAGTTATAAATCCTAATAAATCTATCATAATAAATGAGTAATCCACCGTGTCTGGATGAAGGGAGGCAGCACGGGCAATGGGACAGCCGCAGATGACGAGCTGTATTACCAGAGGCTGAAACCAGAGATTCCAAATCCTCTAGTGAGCATTAGCAGAAAGAAATCCAATCATTCAGGAGATATCCTCTTTAACACACACACAAACACACACGCACACACACACACACACACACACGCACATACTAAAAGAAACGTGGACACATAGGCAACATTGTTTGAGGGGCAAATGCTGATGGTCTCGAAATGCATGAACACTCTATATCTCGCTTTCCACATCCGTATAGACATACACACACTTCAAGTTACGAGTGCCTTCTGACTAATCCAATGGAACCGTTGTGAAACATGTAGCAGTGATAAGCCAAAGGCAACGTCTACCATAAAACCTGGAGGCCGCAGATTAGTCTACTTAAATCGCAGAGGGACGTCGCAGAGTGCGTGTCAGTCCATGTGTGGGAGAATGCTCTTTTTGGATTGTTTTGCGCAAATGTGCGCCAATGCGACCACCCTGTCACATTAGTGAAAAACCTCGGCCTTGACTCAGAGGTGCACTCTATTACAGCTCCTACACAAGGCCGTCTGGCAGTGCTCTCAGCTCTCCCACAGGCAGCACAGTCATTCATCTCTATTTTCCTGACCCCAGCTGATAAATCAAGCCACTGTGTCCTCAAATTGCTAGTCCGAACTGCATCCAAGACATTCACTTTTGCCAGGGATGGAAATTAGTGATAAAAAGTGACACAAAAGGGGCACTTAGCTTGCCACCCAAGAGCAGAACAGTAAACGAGACCAAAGTAATGATCAGTTTTAAGTGGTGGGGAGCAGGGAGGGATGACGAGAACAAACTAGGGTTGTAAAAGCCATTTGCACAACAACCAGTCACAAAATGGCTAAATGACAAAACCAGCGGTGGCTCTGAATGCATCTCGGAGCTTCCAGGGGCTCATGAAAAGATGTCGCCTTGATGGACAGATTGTGCTGGAAAAACAAACAGTTTTCTGCAGCATTTTAAGGACACCTTCGATACCGGTGTATCAACATAACTCATCTAATCCCTTATTTGCAGCTCTAAATCTAGCACCTTGCCGTTTGCACTATCCCGGGCTTCACGTGCATAATTATGCAAACCTCAAGAGGAATATTGCAGAAAATAATTTCACACCGAAAGGAATCCATCACCCTACACGTCATCCAGCTGTCACAAAAATTATTCCCATCTTGAAGAATCATGTTTTGTCATGCGGATTATTACCACCCCCAAAAGGCAGAACGATCACATATGGTGCACACTACAAATTTACCAATCTCCTTCAGGTGCACATAGGTCAGTGCACTGCTAATAGTCTCTTCCTAAGCGGCCAGTTTCTCACATGCTATGGACACTTGGGATGCATGATATTTATCAGACCGATCATTATTTGCCTGCTATTGGAAAAAATGATGTCACTTTTACTGTTCCAAAACTGCAAAATTATTTAGGCTAATATTGAAAGCCACATTAAAATACAGTAACACAGAACCACCCGAAGTCTCCTCAACAATATTTATCATAAATATTCAAACTTGGGGAAATATTTTAACAAGTGCATGTTCCCATTCACTTGAATGAGAGCCGCAGCCAAGGGTTCCTCCAGGAACACGGCGAGCGGCCTTGGCACCGCCTCGGAGGCAGCCTGCTTTTGGCAGCCGTCGAAGAGTGATGACAACCAAGCTGTGCCTTTTCCTTTTTAGCTGTATTTTTACCTTCAAGGTTGGATACTATAATCGTGTGGACTTAATCGCAATTGGATTACAGTACAAACTGACGAGTTCCAGCACCTATTCATTGCACTTTCAACATCGCAGGCGAGCAGAGGGCCCTGCATTAATTTTTGTCGGATCTGGCAAGCGTCATCGCCAGCGGAGGCAACGTAAACAAAAGCTGGCCAGCCGAGCTTCGCTGCACTTTTCCAAGATGAGATAACGGGACGTCTGTGGTTGTTGTTTGGTCTGATAGGCAGCAGAGACAACGTAAAGAAAAGCTGAGCTATATTGCTAAGCTAAATGCTAAGAGTAAGGATATGTGGTGCAAAAATTGATGGATGGATAGCAAATGGTATGAAACTGCACTGTGTGGAATACATATGGCCACGGCTTGTCAAAGTGCAGCTATGAACATTTTAAATGTCTTGACATAGGCCTGTCACTATATCAACTTATCGTTCAATGAGAAAAAATGGACGTGATAGTTTTTATCGGGCACGATAAATGGTTATTTGCATGTGCGTTTGTTGAAATACATCAACATTCACTTGCGCTGCTTCTCTCTCCTGTCTTTCAACTAACTTACAAGCGCCCATGCACACGCACGCGCCTCTGTGGTGCTCTTTTTGTACTATTTCATTGCTTTTGTTCATACATAAAAATATATATTAAACATTCGTGGGTGTGATAACAAAACGCAACCAACCAACTTTACTAACAGGTACTATCAGCATCGGCGCTTTTCAGATTGCTCATCGCCTCACTGTCTCAAGTGATAAGATTTCAGAAAGTAGCAAAACATACGACTGTCCGTTGTCGCTGACAACTTTTTTTATATCCTCACTACATCAAGAGTCAGTGGATATATATATATTTTTTTTCCTTTTTTTTTTTTTAATCGAAATCGAATCAATTCAGAAAATTAGTCAAGATACCCAGGTGTATGGAAAACCTTTTCGTTACAATGTTAACTTTCCATTGAATCTACCTATTGTAGATGCATTGTCCAAAAGCAGCAGGCAGATCTTACTTCAATTTATACTACCGGTAGTTGGACCTGAACACTTCCCTAAGGCTCTTTAATGACATTCTCCTCCCACAAACACAATCAAACCATGTCTGATTAGCTTACCGGCTTGGTTGGTGGTGACGGTCACAGACACTGCCTGTTCTGGCCCGGGGCTCTGTGGCGAGACGCCATTTACCGCCCACACTTCGAACGTGTAGTTGGTATGGGCCTGCAGTTCGTTGATGGACACTCTTGTTCCCTTCAGACTCAGCTGCTGGGGGCTGAAGTGGATCGCATTGCCGCAAGCTTGACAGCGTCGCCCATCGGGCCCACAGCGTTTACACACTACGTTGTAGGTCAGATCCTGCCGTCCTCCTGCGTTCCTTGGCGCACTCCATTCAAGGTTGACCGAAGTCTCGTTCACGTTGGAAATGAGGTGGAGAGGCGCTGTCGGAGGCCCTACAGAGATTCATGAAAAAGTTGACGGTTTGAACAAACAGTGCTGGGTTAAATGCTAAGGTACTGAGTTACAGTAAAATGTTCCTGTGGTCACTGCTGAAGTGGAGAAGACGACATTATGGTGTATATTTACAATAAATTGCTCATTGCTAACAGTTGGGAAAACCTACTTTGTAATAAACCAGCGTGCCTAGTTGTGATGTGGGTACATGTGCGTAAGGCACAGCTTCACAATCTGAATAGAACCGCATTACAAATTTATTCTATACATGAAACAATATTATTTCACCGACTTCGTGAGAGAGATGTTTTTCATTGAGGTTGTATGGTATCACACCAAGAGGTGTTTTGAATGTTTGTAAAAGAAAAAACATTGAATTACTTTCAGTAAATTCAAATTGCAAATTTGAATCACAGTTGACACGCCTGTGTTACATGGCAACCAGGTGTACTTAATATCGTGAGTGAGTTTATATTCGATGCTCAATTGGCGTGTCATTTAAACGAAAAGCTGAAGCTCCTTGAATTCCTCTTTAATGCCCTGTACATCAAAACATGGGAGGTTCCGATTTCGCCTGTGCATCTTAACTGAAATTCAATCAACCGAAAGATTTTTTTCACGTGTCGGATCCGCGGCAGACAGCGAAATGCCAGTCGGTATCTAACAGACTGCCTTTATGGCTGCCAACAATAACTGCAGACCGTGTTTGTGTTGGACCTCGTTCTCGAGCACCGCCACCCCAGCCCACCGCCACCACCACCACAACTACTTTGATCTTGAGTCTACAAACTGCTTTTATATGCAAGCCGCAATGCAGTTGTGACACAGACTCCCCTCATCATCAATTTCAATTTACATGTCAGCTCTACTTGAATAAATGTGTTTTTTGCGTGTTGCTTTCAAACATAAGATTCGGTAATCGACTTAACTCTCCCTGCCCTCTCTCCATCTCCATCTGACTAATGAAGCGCTTGGGGGGGATCGATGCACGCTGAAATATGAAATCTTGTCAGTTGGCAGACTAATCATTTGCAAAGGAAATTAATTATCAGTGTTATTTTTAGAGTAGCACAATGACAGTGAACTATGTCGCTGAGACACAGAGAGGGCGGAACGCTCAATGCCTTGAGGGGCGTACTCTGTGTGGACAAATATTGCTCAATTAACGAGACTGCGAAAAGCAGATATACCCATTGTGCATTTGGGAATGTCTGCGGGCAGTATGGGTGTGCAATTGCACTTGAAACTTGAAAAGTTGAGCAAATGCAGAGGAAAGGGTGATGCTGAGAAGTAAGGGTTTGGAAATTGATTAGTATGATCAGACCATGCCTGGAGGGAAGGGATAGAAATGTGTCGATAATGTTATTATCACAAATATATTCGCAAAGCTCATTAAAAACGACGATTGAAGCACCGCCACACACACCTCCATTGTATTTTGTCTTCCTTGCCCACTTTTCATTTGTTGGAGTGAAAGATGGGGTTGCTAAATTAAGGCGCCGACACCCAACCGTGATTATAATAGAGCGCTTTTCAGCTTGTTAGGCTCAACTAAGTTCCCTGCCCAATTTTGTATTGAACAATGTGCGGTAATTTCACTACCCATCTGTGTTTTAAGTGCTCTACCAAGGAATATTATTTTGGTTTAATACGACTGTAGTCTCAACGGATCATTACAGCTGTCCTACTTTTCAAGTGGACAGATGTGTTGGGTTTCTTGTTCGCACGTCACTGCTTCTCGATGCTATTTCAACCAACGTTAGCTACACCTGTCGCTCTCCCAGAATGCACCAATGACAGCAAGGGAGAGTGGGAGAGCTGTTGGCTGTGAGTGACACTTTATAATTAATCCCAAGAGAGTTTGTGGAGAGGGAAATGGATTTGTGGACGAACATTAAATCAATAAGGCCTTTACGTATATAGTCACATATCCAAGAGTTTGTCCAAAACAAAGTTGAAGCTAAGACCTCCCCCTCCCGTACCTTTTTGATCCATTCATGGGCAGGCAATTTACCCCGAGCATTAGTTCTTTTCTTTCCTCTCAGCCCATGCTTCATCTGTCTTTCTCATTTTTACTCTAAAACGTCTCCCTTCACATGCCCCAACCTCTCGTCGTTGTCTGCCTTTTTTCCCTCCTGTCTCTTCCTATCAGTATGTGTTAGCAGAGTGTTGTGCAGGTCCAAGGTGGAGGGCAGGCAAAATTGGCCTTAGCATCAAACTCCACTACTGAAATCCATCTGGGATATATTCAATGCCCCCCTTGGGGCTTCCCCATTCCATCCTCATTGTTCGAAGCCAAACCGCCACTAAGAAAACTGGGAAAAATCTGAGAAACACATCAAGGGGCCAAAAGAAACCCCAAATTGTAGAACAGCCCTTTCTTGTAACCATCAGGCAGCAGAGCAACCAACTCCCACGGGTGTCTGACCACGGCCTTCATGACTGCTCTGCGCTGAGTGTATGTGTAGTTTTATGTTGTGTGTACTGTATATATAAGCATTGCTACCACCGACTAGTCTCCCTGGAACATGTTTCACTCCTGACTTAGCTGCAGATTTCACTTGAGAGATGTCCCCTACCTACGATAAGAATTTGCATCGTAACCTGATCTTATTTTTGGAGGGATGAAAGATACAACAATGAAATATTATTGTTCTTGTTAAAGAAGAAGATTGACCTCACAAAGCTTCGTGTCACCATTTTCTTGTTGACAGACCCTTAATCCACAGATTCCCCACCCCCACCACCCAATTCAGTCAGAAAGAAAGAAAAAATGTAAAATGTTTTTGAGCGGAAGTTGAGAGGAAGGCACAAAATTGTGGGGATGTAGAGGAAAGTGTGATTGACAGCTGTAATTACACATCAGGGTGAGAAGCAAAAACAAAATGCACAAGGAAAAGAGCAGACGACAAACGGTGGATGGATAGTTCAAAGATCAAATGTTGAGCGGCTGACGAAGCAGAGGCCAAAGGTCGGTTGCAGTTTGGAACGCACAAGATTGCGATGCATGGTCCAATAAAAGCAGCCAAGTAATGAGCTATGGCAGCTGTTGCTTGCAGCAGCCACACGGTTGAATGCCACACTGACTAACGGGACAGACAACGGAGATGATGTCAGCCAGCAGCTTCTCGCAAGTGAGACCACATACTAATTGGCTTTGGAAAATTTATGATTTTATTGAACGCCATCAGAACACGACGACATTGATAAATGCAATAAAACAACAAATTTATTGGTGCTGGTTAAAATGGTACATACTAATGTGGTTAGATATATTGATGAAGAAATTTGGCAAGGGGGATGAATTATTTTGGCCATATGTTCTCTGTTATTCAAATAACAAATGGAGCAATTAAAAACTGCAAATCTGGCCATTGGAGAAATTAGCAACACTGCTTCACTGTAAGAATATTTCACAAATCAAGCAGCGTTTGATTGCATATTTATCAAATTCCACTGGAAACATTTCACTATTTGGATTTGTTTCAGTTCGGGGAGTTTAGGAATCCGCCTCTTGTCTGATCCAATAAACCGTTGAGCTGACTGATGAATCCAGAGGAACTTGACAGGTCATTCGGGCCTTATGGTGAGCCAGCTATGAGCAAAGCAACTTAACAGATGTTTTGGTTGGTAGAAATTGCTTTATGACACATACTCGGTTCGACATAAACATCTGTCATATGGAAGCAAAATTGCTGTTATTTCCTGTGCGGCAAGAGAAAGGACTTTTTCTGAGTGTACATTTCTACCCATATGAACTCCAAGTACCATGACTCAGAGGGTGGATGAAGTCCCAAAAGGAAAGAGTATCAGGAGAATGCATGATTCTCAGTGGTATTTGTTTCACCAATCACTGCGAGCTTGGCATGGAATAATAACTGACTCATGCTGCTGGGTTAAGAAAAATGAAGGCCAAGAGAGGGACAAAAAAGGATTTGTTTTACTTTGCTCTCTGTAAGTCTTTCTCTCTCACGCTCATCTCCATGTTTTGCAATGTCTGTGGAAAAACAAATCTGGACTGTATCTCTTTGTACCCAGTTTGGAGGTTGAATACTGTGACTGATCACTACAACCTGAAATCAAAATACATCTTCAAAAACAGCCCACGCAAGCGTTCTGTGCGCAGAAAAGTGTGTGACTGGCTAGCCCAGGTTAACAATGCAGTGAATAATTTATGACTGGGCAAAAGCAGTATTTGTGTGTTGTGCTTTATAGCCACTGTACTTATTTCGTAGCTTTATGTTGATATATTGCAGGTTTTAACACAAAACTTTGCACTATATATTACATACGATATGGTATGCACTTACGGGTGCAGGGCATGGATGCCGGGTCTGTTTCGGAGCGGAAATATCCCTTGTCGCAGGCGCAGGATGTGGAGCCCTCCCTGACAGAGTAGCTATGGAGTGGACACTTGGAACAAGCACCATCAGTCGCCAAGGCACGGTAGTAACCAATCTTGCAGGCTAAAAGAGAAAGGGCAGAATGTTTACGGTTAGATATGATCAATGCAATGCTGTAGTTTTGCCTTGAAGAAGAGCAAACATCATCAAAAAGCCAGAGGGATGATACAGTTCAGTGCAAATCTACGCAACCAAGAACCTATCGCTCAAGTGAGAGAATCAGCAAGGCGAGGATTACATTTTTGCTACAGAGATTCAGGGTGATCTGTGAAGCAGTGATCATTTTACAGTTTAACCCCAGCGAGTCCCAGGGACTCGCTGATCAGAAAAGTATGAGTCCCATTATGCATTTAGAGTCCCAAATTTCGAATTCTGAAATGGTGTACTTATTCAATTGCATATGATAAGAACACAAACAACAACAATATACATTGATAGTAGGTTTATTTCTTATAAACAAATGCTGCAAAAATTTAATTAATTCAGGCATACAAGATTTGCTGAGAAATATGCTCTTATTTCATCCCATGGTTCAGTTTTGGAGTTCATAAATTCTCCTCTCTTTACTCTGCTTCCAATGATGCAAGGCTTTCTCAAAGTCAACTTATTATCGCAAAAAACAATTCAACTTTAGCTGCTCCATCTATGATATCTCCGCAATAAACTTTCGCAACACTTGTTTTAAGGTTACACAACTTGGCAATCGTCTGGTTTCCGCGAGGTTCAAGGCCAATCCTGCCAATCTCCTCTTGCGAGATTACTTAACGCGAGATCAAAACAACAATGGCGGCGATTGTCAAACCGCGACACTGCGTTGCTGGAAAAAAAGATGTACCGCAGTTTTTTTTTTGTTTTGACTGAGAAATTTCCTTGCGTCCCAAAAACGCACATTATTTGGAACTGTGCGTCCCGTGGGAAAATAATGCATCTTGGACGCGGGACGCAGAGGTAACGAGATGACTGTGAAGCAACAGTTCCTATGACGTTGCAACTGATATTATACAGTATATGGTAACACATGCACTCTCACACACACACACACAACACAACACACACCTCCATCGAAAATAGTCAGCCTCCTAACTCTCCTTTATTGACAGTGCACCTCTTTCTCTTCAGTGATATTTTGATTGGGGGGGTGAGGGGGGCGGGGCGCTGTTCTTTCAAGGAGTTTCTCTCTTTTAGTTTGTATAAAGGCCGAAGGAGGCCGTCGAGGTTATATTTCACCCCGGGTGCTGCACCAGAGTAGTTGGACAAAGGAACAATTCTCTGAAAGGTGCAGCACAGACGGTCACACCAGCAAGTGGACCATATAACCTGTCGATCCAGGAGGCTGCCATGTGCAACGGAAGATTACTGGTTTAGATTTAGGGAAATTGCTCAGCGAGTGTACATCTGTCTTGGGGTGGTTTGTTGACTAGCATCTCTCCAACACCTAATTGCAATTTTTTTTCACCCGCAGTGAGATTTGACTCGTGATCCTGTGGTCGTAAAGCCAAGTACTTACAGACTGAGCCATTGCTGCCCTAAATCCACATCGGGATCTACACCAAACTGAAATGAGTTCCGCTTTACAAAATTGTGCAGAATCCAACTGACGAACAAATGAAGAAAATACAGCCCCCTTGAGGAACAAATGAAATCAAATAGGAACAGTAGTCGCCCCCCACATACTGTACAAGAGAATAGTCACCTTGGAAATGGTTCCTATTCTCTTGCAGTAGACTTTTAACACGCATTCCATCAACCAACTGACATCCTCGTGGACACAAACAGCAGAGGAAATCCACTAACCCAATAAAATGCTGGAAAATCCCTCTCTTGAAGGCGTAATAAAGTCTCTATTGGGCTGCGTGTCCTCTTCAGATGCTGGATTAGCGTAGCGTGTTGAGTTGGGCTAGCTGCTACCTGCTGAGGCATTCTTTGCCCACTCCCACTCGGTTCATCAGGAGTAAATCCCCGCAAACCCTAAGCTAAGGGCCTCTTTGATTGTGGCCTGCAGGGGTACGTGAAGCCTATATTTCTTGGTTTCACAGTTGCAACAAAGAGGAGAGATTAGTTAGGAGGTGCTGTGTTCTCTATCTATCTTAACGCCTGGGCTTCAACACTCAAATTAGCTATTACGGCACTTTGGATTTGCGGTTTGTTTCCGGGGTTGTGACTGCTTAAGGTGACAAAAGCCATCGCTGGTTTCAGAGTTTGTACATGTGCGCTGACCAGAAAAGTGTCTAGAGTTGAGAGTCAGGTCACCCAGCTGTTTGAGTTGGTGCCCCTCAGCTAAACGCTGTAGAGAGAGTTAATTGAGCTGCATGCTTCACAGCCTTCAGGTCTGAGCCTCTTAAAAAGACACAGTTTTAGGGCAGGATACCTCAAACTGTGCATGGTTGATGAGTTTTTTTTTTTTTTTTTTTGCTCTTCAATGATTAAGTTGTTCCTTGAGCCCCCAGTGGCTGTTTGAGAATACTTTGCTCACCATCCAAGTCTGTTTGCCATCAGTCATGGTTTGGCATCATTTTTTCTGTGGTTTTTAAATGCTGCATATATTTTGATATATGTTTAAAAATGTGACGTCAACATTTGCAGGTTTGTTTACAGCACTGGCTGCCCTGCAGAAAGGAACCTAGGAAGGAAGAGAGAGGCTGATGTCTAAGCAAAGATGGGGAATTTGCTTCTTATTAGGAGAGGGAGCGTATGTGAGGGAAGAAAACCGCAGCAGTGGGTGGTCTAAGAAACCATGGTCTCAGAGAAGAGAAGAATCTCCCTTAAGAGCCAATGGATTTATTACTATCCGGGCCAACGTGGCAAACCAATCCACAAGCACAAATACAAATGTTCAACAAACATCTTGTTTTTTTTTCTAATCTTATCGTAAATCTGTCAAATGGCTCTCAAAATCAAAAACGCATTTGTTTTTTTTTTCCTCTCTGTCATTGTCTAACTTTCTCAATGTATTTTTTCTCTCTTTTAGCCTTTCTCTCTGCAGGATTCTTTCGAGATAGAGATGGTTTGTCAGTTGCCAAATCCCTAAACTAAGAGATCAAAGGCAGACAAAAGACTCGTGACTTATGCTATTCTGAAAAGGCAAAAGCTGGAATCCAACATAGTGTGGGACATCACATTCTTCCCCCTTTCTCCCCTAGAAGCCTTTTCACTCCTCATCTTTTCTCTTTTGTCAAGCTTCCTCCCACCACATCCACAACCCAGTTGTTTGTAAAATTAAGCTCATCTGAAAGAAAGGAGGCCATGGTTTGTGGTATTTAATGAGTAGTTTTCTTCATGTGATTGGGGGTGGTGTCTGCTGGTAATTAGTTGCACTGCATGAGTACAAGGACAATTTTATGCTAATGGTTCACGGACAAGAAAAATAAAGAAAAAGACATGGATAGCGAGAGACAAGCAAGTAGTCACCTATAACCCAGCTAAGTTTTCCTGTGTGGCGGCAGCCTACACAGCAGGCTTTGAACAGTGATGCGTACCAAATAAAACATCAACCTCCACACTCGGCCAAGGAAGCCCACGAAGAGTGACCCGCATACAAAGTATAGATAAACTTTTCTTCCTGCCTCCACAACGAAGTATTCAACACACCAGGGACTGAAAGCCTGACAAAAAGCCTTTGCAACAATAGAACTCAGGAATATAACACCCAGCGCACAGCACGATAGAACCTTGCGTGCCAAAGCACAGCAATTGCCTCGCTTATGACAACAAGAGAATTAAGTTGAAACTGCAGTGTAGCCATTCTTTTTTCGTGACTGCGTGTCATCTTCTTTTTGAGGATTGAAAACCCGCTAAACTGTTTTAGTCATAACAGACACTGAGCACTCTTCAGGAGGGCAGTTAGAAGCATTTTTCCACAAAGCTGCGCTTTTAAAAAAAAGAAATGCAGCGATCAGTTTTCAGGACCCAAGGGCAAGGAGAGCCTCTGCTTTCGAGAAGCCTCCACTTTCCAGTCAAGATGACTTTATGCCATAACCCTCTTTCTTTGTGACTCTTCTACAGGTGGAGAGCAGGTGAAATTCGTGTTCCGAAATTGGTTTGTTTACCCTTTGGCAGCATATCTTGTCTGGGTTGAGCAAACTCATGCCTGAGGATTTCACGGTAACAATCGTTTCCGGGAAGGTGTCGTTCCCGTGGGACCATTTGTACGGTACCAAAAAATCGTTTCCCATAAAAATCACCCCACACTAGTTGACTATGCGATAGAATCTCTCATGTGTGATCAACGCGATTTCACTGTGCCTGTATGTGTGTTTGTGGTGTGGTGTGTGAGTGTTTTTCTTCTTGCATGCGGGGTGCTAGTTTAGTCTGCACACTGAGAAAGCGTGTGGATGACCGAGTGAGATGGCGGCGAAAGAAAACCACAGAATAGTGTATTACGACATTTAAGAAATGGGAATGCCCGTCGGATTTTTCTTTCGAATCATCAGAAGAAAGGCGTATTACCAAACTGACGTGTGATGTATGCACAAAACACGAAAGAGAAATACGACGATAGACACAATTCCGAGGCAAGTTTTTGAAGTTGGTCATTAGATCAAAAGGCTAATAGCGATAAAAAAATATTAGGAAACAGTCTTAGTTATTCTATAATTTACTAATTGTAGACATGGTAACTTTATGAATAAAACATTCGTCACAAGGTGTAGTAATACTAATGTTAACTGTCGGTAGGCCTAACGATGACGTCTGGTAGATTCTTTGGTCAAATTGATCGTAGAATACACAGTGCATCTTCTTGGGGTTGCAAAGAGGACGTCAAGCCATATCAATACTATAAGTCTATATATAGTAATAAGGTCATTTTTTTTTGTATTCATGATGAGTACAATAAAAGTGTTAAACAACATATTTTGATCCATGTATTCTATTGAATAAACCTGGATTACACAGCTGCTGATGTAATTATGTTCATGGTTAATGCATCATTTTCACACATTTACCCTTTAAATATTATACTTTTGAGCATCAGAATTCCTGATTATGAATATCAGTCAAAATAGAAAAATGGGTTCCCATGATGAACGTTTACGGAACCCAAAATTAGTTACGGTGGTTTCCCA